AAAGATGTTGATTAACTTTAGACTTACATCCTAATTTTAGGGCTAACCTCAGAAAGCATAGAAGTAAAAGACATAATTTTCATACTGATAGGGAAGAACAAATGGAATGAAAAATAGTCAATTCCAAAATTTGCAAGAAAGGAGAGAAATAGAACCATAGAACCTTGATACAAATAGGACAAAAGTAGATAAAAAATTTAAACCCAAATATAGGGAAGCCTGGCTGGCTCAGTTGGTTACGTGCCTACCTTTGGCTCAGGTCATGATTCCAGGGTCCTGGGATCAAGTCTGGCACTGGGCTCCCTGCTCAATGGGGAGCCTGCTTCTCCCTCTGCCTGCTACTCCCCCTCCTTGTGCGCATGCTCTCTCTGACAAATAAATAAAAATCTTAAAAAAAAATAAACCCAAATTTATTGATAACTCTTTTAAATTTAAATTACTAAATTCTCACAAAATGTCAAGAGTGTTATTTTTTTGTCAGTGTTTTTAAAAGATATCCCATATTAACAATACAGAAAGATTGTAAAGAAATAATTGGAAAAGACATATCATAGAAACAATAACAAAAAATATTTTATAGCTGTATAATATTAGACCATATAGTCTAAGGCAAAAATCATTGCTAGAAATAAAATAGGTCACTTCATAATTGGATAAAGTTCTATTCACCAGCAAGCTATAACAGTTATAAAATTATAAAGAATAATACAGCCTTGAAAATATATAAAGCAGAAGTTCAAAGAAATAGAGAAAGTCACAATTTTATGAAAGATTTTAGTTACTTTTCTCAACAATCGGTAGAAGAGACGTAAAATAACAAAACTGAATAAGGATAATTTAAAGAGCACAGGTAACATGTTAACCTAATGAACAAATATAGAATGCTGTATTCAGTTTTAGAGTGCATGTTCTTTTCAGGTATATGCAGAGAATTTTCAGAAGTTGTGTATATCAACCGTAAAAACAATCTCAGGAAATTTCAAAGGCTTGAAGTTATATGGGGCATTTTCTTCAGGTAAATTTAAAAATATGCTTCCAAAAACCATGAATCCCAAAAGGAGTCATAATGGAGATTGGGAAATATTTTAACCAAATGATGAGAAAATATTATGTATCAAAAGTTGTGGAATGTCGCTTAAAGGAATACTTAGATGGAAATTGATAGCTTTAAATACATAAATTAGGAAAGAAGAACAGCTGAAAGTTAATGAGATAAACATCCATTTCAAAAAGGAAAAATAAGATAGTAGGAAGGGAAAAATGAAGGGGGAGAAATCGGAGGGGGAGACGAACCATAAGAGATCATGGACCCTGAGAAACAAACTGAGGGTTCTACAGGGGAGGGGGTGGGGGGATGGGTTAGCCTGGTGATGGGTATTAAAGAGGGCACATATTGAATGGAGCACTGGATGTTATACGCAAACAATCATGGAACACTACATCAAAAACTAATGATGTTATGTATGGTGATTAACATAACATAATAAAATAAAATTTTAAAAAAAAAAAATAAGAGCCGGATAAACTAAAAATAGAGGACATGAAATAAAAACAGAAGCACAAATTAATGGATAAGGAAACATGCATAGGAAACAAGACCAAGGAATCAAAAAGATTCTTTTTAAATTAAAAAAATTGAGAAACTTTTAATGAGCTTTACTGAGAAAGAAGAGAAAGCATAAATAACCAAAGTAAGGAATGAAAAGCGAAGAGGACACGACTGCTGATGCTGTCGACGTTAGATAGATAAAAGCATACAATGAAACATTTGATGCAAATAAATTGAGAAATATAGTTGAAATTGACAGCTAGCATAAGAAATAGAATACCTGAGTAGTCCTATGACAGTTAAATAAATTGGATTGGTAATAAGCCTGTTTGGAAAGACTTTATTTCCAGGTGTCATCCCTGGCATATTTCTGCCAAATATTCAAGCAAGACATCTACATTTTTTCATTTTTCCCAGGTGGTAAAGAAAAAGAACATTACCATTCATTTTATGAGGGTAGCACAACATTAATATCAGAACTTGGTAAGTACAAAAGAAATTTATAGACCAGTTTCGATGGTGACCATAGATGCAGAAATTTTGAAGGAACTGTAGGACAGGAAACCCAGCAAAAATACCTCATGATAATGTTGGCTTTTCCTAGGAATGGGAAAATGTTGGCTTAACATATATTAAGAGATAAAGAAAAAATGACACAATTATCTCAATAGATGAAAAATAAAATTAATCATCTGTTGACGGTAGTAAAAACCTCCTTGCAAGCTAGATGTAGAAGGAACTCCCTGAATGTGATAAGTAGTGTTTATTTTATTTTTTAGAAAGATTTGTTTTATTTTATTTTAAAGATTTTATTTATTTGACAGAGAGAGACACAGTGAGAGAGAGAGAGCACAAGCGGGGAGTGGGAGAGGGAGAAGCAGGCTCCCCGCTGAGCAGGGAGCCTGATGCGGGGCTCGATCCCAGGACTCTGGGATCATGACCTGAATCACCCAGGCACCCCAAGATTTGTTTATTTTAGAAGGGGAGAGAGCATGCACGTGCATACACACATGTGTGCACATGCAGGTGGGGGAGGGAGAGAGAGAATCTCCAACAGATTCCCCGCTGAGCACGGAGCCCAACATGGGGCTCAATCCCACATCCATGAGATTATGCCCTGAGCTGAAATCAAGAGTTTAACCAACCAACTGAGCCACCCAGATTTCCCAAATGGTTTATTTTAAAAGTATATTTAATGATGAAACTTTGAATGCTTTCCCATTTAGATTGGGCATAAGTAGTTAAGCTTAAAAATAAAACTGCCAGTTATTTTATCAGCAAAAGATGGATTTATTCAGTAATAGCAGAAAATTGCCATCCTGGACAAGCAAGATATGGCAAAACCATAGGCAAGTCCCCTGAACAGGTTTATTTAAAGAGAAAAGGAGGGAAGTTGGGTGGGCTCTTATACTAGGAGTTCAGAGTAGAGTGGCCTTTCATTAGCAGAACTGTGACAGTCTCTCATTGGTTGAACTGCTGCCAGGGGAGGAGGAAACCCTTTTTTCCTCCCTCTGGGACAGTCAAGTAGTATCCACATGCAAGATTCCTCTCTTTCTTTGAGTCTGCAGTTGACAACCAGTGGTAGGATGTGAGAGCTCCCCCTGCTGGCCTCCTGACTCCAAAAATGAGATTTCCTTTTATTAATTTTTACAAAGTCAAGGATGTCTGCTATCATCACTGATTTTCAGCATCATAATAATGGAGGTCCTAGCCAAGGCAGTAAGGTAAGAACAGGAAAAAAGAAAGCAGTAAGGATTGGAAAGGAAAAAACAAAACTACTATTATTTATAGATGTTGTACTTGTGTACATAGAGTATCCAGATGAATTATTATAATTAGAGAATTTAGCAATGTTGCTAGATACAGAGTCAATATACAAACACCAATTATGTTTCTATCAACCTACAAGAAACAAAACTTTTCAGTAGCACCAACACTATGTACTATGACTAAATCTTAATAGGATATACATAAGACCTTGGTCTTATCTAGGGAGGAGCCTAGAAGCCCAGTAGAACAAAAGTGTAAGTCCTTGTTTGCCTTCTTCATTTCAGACTTAAATCTAGGAAATGTGCAACACTTAAATTCAGTAGGCTTGTAAGGAGGGGGGGCATGATATTTTGTCCAATATAATACAGATAACATCTTAAAATAGTTGGAGCACATTGATAAATAAAATATCTTAGTAATAAAGATTTGGGGTTCTTTCAGTCTGAGTCTTTACCTAATATGAAAGTCTTTTATATAGCATTCTTGAAAGCTCTCTCTGATGATGATTCATTCACTTTTCTGCCTGAAATTTCCACTCATAGGAACTAGTACTGAATCATTTCACAAAGATTTTATTAACTACATATTTACTAAGTACTATGATAACTACATTATTTTGTCAAATCTAAGGCATTATTAATTTTAAGTTGCATCATTTCTTCACATTTTACTAAGTGAAAAAATGTTGCCACTCTGGCTATAACACACCATTGATTTTAATATGCATATTGATTTCAAAGATGTTGAAGTGTTTTTTAAAGCATTTTATGATTTATGAAACATTTCTGTAGAAGTATTTCCATTGTTTTACAATTTAGGAATACCACTGAAAAAAATCTACTTTACCTTTGATTTTTCATACCTATCATGCTACCTTTTTTTTTTTTCTTCTTCCCTAATTTAAGCACTCTTAAATTCATTCCTTTTTTTGGTTTCCTTTTTTGCCATCCTGGTCATTCTTCTTGGGATGCTTTTTACTTTATCAGTAAGTTGCTTAAAATTGAATAAGATACAGGCTTCAAAAAGAAAATTGTAAAATATTAAAATCAGTATATCCAAAAGGTAGAATACTCTTTCAAATTCATGATTCTTGTTAACTTGACAAGATTTTTGGTGTTTTTTTCCTTAAAACAAGGTAGTCCATAGCCATGAACAAATTATTGTGTTCTAATTTTTATAAGTATGTAGGTTTAAATTTTGTACATCATACTTTTCACAGCAAGATTTTCTCCCCATTGATACTCATTTACTCATTCTTGTAACTGAGGTTAAAGATGCTACTTTGTTTTATGTTAACATTTTTTGTTACAGACATAAACTGGAATGTAATACATCTTTTTTCATTCTTCTCCTCTACAAAATTATTACCAAAAAAATCTGCCTATAATATTTCAACCTTGGAATATTTCTAAATAACAAAGATGTTTACTTGTTTTAGTAGTGAATATTTACATTTGAATATTTTAAATTCTTCACAATCATGTAATTTCTGATAGTCATTGTATGATTGTTTACTGTTTTGTGTATTGCCTAGTTCAGCTTAATTCACCTAAAGGAAAAATGACGTCTCATAGTTAGTTAAATTTATAATTTTCTAATTCATTTGGGATTATGGTTTTTGATTATTGTGAAATTTAACTTTTCCAGTAGGTTATATACTTTTCTCTCTTTTACAACACAGGTTTTGAGAGTATTTTAGAAGGGCTTTATGGACCACGGCTACGAAGAGACCTCAGCTTATTTGAAGGTAATGCTTTTTAAGTTTTATTTTAAAATTGTGACTTTCTGTCCCATTTAACAAAGAAAAATGGTTGTTCTGTGCTAACTTTACATTAAACATGAATTTGTGGTCTTGTTTAATTAGTATTTTTAAATAAAGTGATCTAAATATTGTTTTTGTTATTATATAACGTTATCATAATCTTTAGTACACTGACCAAAATGGAAAGTGAAGCTTGTTTTTGGCTTAATGGTGAAATTTAATTTTTATTGTAACGTACCCTTGCTTATTCTTTTTTTTTTTTTTTAAAGATTTTATTTATTTATTTGACAGAAAGAGAGCACAGATAGGCAGAGTGGCAGGCAGAGGGAGAGGGAGAAGCAGGCTCCCCACTGAGCAGGGAGCCTGACGCAGGGCTCAGTCCCCGGGGATCATGACCTGAGCCAAAGGCAGACACTTAACTGACTGAGCCACCCAGGCGCCCCAACCCTTGCTTATTCTTAAAGAGGATTTCAAAAGGTTCAATTAAGTAAATATTTCCTGTTGCTCATGAAACAGGTAGCCTGGAAATCAGATTGTCGCTCTGAGAAATCCCACCATGTGTGTTAAGAGTTTTATATTTATGTATAATGCTATTTGTTATTTATTAGCCACTTCTTTCAAATGCTGTAGCATAAATCCTAGTGGAAGATTTTGATTTGTGATATGATTGCTGTGATACCATAGTTTAGTTGTTTTATTGCTTGCTTGGAAATGTAGAGCAGTAGGAGAACGATTTTGTAGACCTCTGAAATTTTATAGTACAGTTTATTCACAAAATAGGTAATGCTGGTATAGATTTTCTACTTCAATTTTGATTGAATTATTTCTGAATCTTGTATCTGGTCTGTTTTATGTCCACTTTTACCTTCTATTCTACTATGGTACCTTCCATTCTACCAAGACCCAAGACATCTCTAAAGGTGCTTCTCTCCTCTGTGTAAATAAGTCTGTTGAGGTGAGGGAATGATGGTGGAGTAGTCAAAAGTTTTCTGCCCATTCTTCATTAATGTTGAGCAGAATAATTGAGTTAGGAATCATAGATCTGAAAGTATCTATGAAAGATCATTTGTCCCAACCACCTGTCTTCGCTGAGATGAATTGATATCCATGTAAAACATGACTTTAAGAATGGAGACTCCAAAATGTGCTTGTTCTAGTGTTTTATCATTCTTCTGGCTAAGATCATTCTTTTAATTTCTCTTAACTTTAATCATTTCTCATCTTATCATAATTCAACACTGAATTATTTTTACCTGATATATTTTTTAGCAATTCTAATTGTAGTTTCACATATTTTTCTGAGCTTACAAATGAACAAAGGAAAAATCTAAAAAAACAAGAATTTAACCTAAGCCTGACATTTCTTCAGCCTTCCTTTCTTAACCTGCTGTCCTCATTCATGTCAGAAGTCAGCATTATACTTAATTGCCTTCTGACAACCCAAATTACAGCTTGTGACTCAGCCTGTTGCTTCCCCCACTTACATGTGTTTATTTATATAGTTGTATATATATGTATATATTTATGTTCCTTCAAAAATTGTTTATTATACAAAGGGCAGAATGTTCTAAGGAAATAAATGCTTTGTATTTTGTTTTTAGACTAGTATTTCTTTAGTATACAAGTTGTATGTTTATTTTAGGAAATTCAAGAATACAGATAAGCCAGAAAGAAAAAATTACCCCTACTCCCATGATCCATAGATAACTTTTAAACATTTTTATGTAAATATAAGATCTGTGTATTTGTTCTTTAATTATAGTAGTATATACTATATGCACAGTATGTGTAATTTCTGTGCCTGTTGTGTTCACTGGTATATCATTTGGGTATATTAAGTCTAGACCATCTTTCTTAATGGCTGCACAGTATTTCGTTGTAGATCTATTTATAATTACTTACTTAATTTAATAACCCATTGCTGTATATCTCATTCAGTTTATTTAAATTCAGATAGATCTTGTACTTTATGCCCTTTCAGTGCTTTTTTTGGTGGGGGGAGTTAACAAAATTAGCTAAGCTTTGAAACTTGTGTATAGACACATATTCATTGCCTTAGTTTACCCCAAATATTCTTTCTCCATGTTTCTTAGGTAAATTCTTCCTCCTCTTATTTCGTTTTTTGAATTAAAAAATTAATTAAATTGTAGCCTTAAGAATGGTGATATTAATTATTGCAATAAATCTGTATCTGTGCAAGGATGAAGACAGTCATACATTTTGAGGGAAATTAAATCAGTACTATCAAAAGTGTAGAGCCTCTTGAAAAGGCTCTGTAGAAACTATGCATTATAGACATCTCCATCTTCTTTCTTATCCTCTTATAAATTAGTGTGCTTTCTTTGTTGTTGCCATTGTTAAAAATGGTTTAATATTTAGATGCTGGGACTATAAGTATTTCTCACTATGCAAATCTATATGCAGGAATCAAATAGATTAGTGTATGTTTTTAGATGAATCATTGGAAATCTGAACCTTTGTTAACTCACTTTCCAAAACTCAGAAACCAAATATATTGGCTAGCAAAGGATTCTTGTATATTATTCTAAATTATTTTTTGTTATAAAATTAAAATACTATGTATTTTAATTTTATAACACATTAATTTAGATAGACTACATTGCATACCTACTGCTGTTTCTGTGGAAAATATATTCTAAATTTCATATTTGCTACCTTAAAAAATCAACTGTGGCACAGAGCATATTTTTAAGTTTAAGACTTTTGTATCATATACATTAATGTTTTGAGAGGTTTGTATTTTAATTCTTGAATTTGATTCAGAACCACCTCCAGATTGAATGGTTTGAAGGAAGCGTATGAGTGGTGCTAATTTTTGTTTTGTTGGAAACGAAACAGAAGCCCCTGTTTTCTGTCTTCTTTGGTATGTTTTGTGACTTTCTCTCCTTTTGGGGAAAATATAACTATTATTTTGGCAGGGGATGGGGGGAGTCTCCAAAGAAGGTTTGAATGTCATAAACTTCAAACTTTTATGTATGCCCAGAAAAGTTCCTTATTACATTCTGTGCCTCTCTTCCTTCTCATCTCTCCAAAACTTATTTTTCCTGATGCCACAGCACTTTTAAGCAAAAATTCCCTCTTTTTTCCTACTTTAGTCAGTCCTTTCTCATGTCTTATTTGTGAGCTGGTTTCTTTCACCTGTGGGAATCATCTGATTTACTTGCCATGACTATGGATATTTACAAAAATTTGGAAAGAGTGTGGTCGACCTGTGTAAACTGATAGATCCAAAGGGGGAGATTATGTCAGAATTCTTCAAGCTATAGCATATGGGCCAAATCCAGCTTGTTTACTGTTTTTGAATGGCCTGTGGGCTAAGAATAATTTTTACATTTTTAAATAGTTGAAAAAATAAAAAGATTAACATTTAGTGACATATGAAAATTACATGAAGTTCAAATTTAATTGTTCAGTTAATAAGGTTTTATTGAAAACATCCCCTCTCATTTGTTGAAACATTGTCAATGACTGCTTTTTTTTACCACAACAGTAGAGTTGAATGATGTGGCAGGTTGTATGGCCTACAAAACCTAAAATACTTACTATAGAAAAGGGTTTGCTGACCCCTGAGTGTACCACTGACTGAAATTTACTATTTTTGACTTAATATCTTTTTTTCAACTGTAAACACTATGATGATAGAGACAACAAAACTACTTTTTAATAAGATTTATTAGGTAAAACATTAAAAAAATTTTTTATATGAGTATAGTTGACACACAATGTTACATTGATTTCAGGTGTTGCAACATGGTGATTCAACTTCTCTACATGTTATGCTGTGCTCACCAAAAGTATAGTTGTCATCTGTCACCATACACTGCTATTACAACGTCATTAACTATATTCTCTATGCTGTGCCTTTATTCCTGTGACTTATTCATTCCATAACTGGAAGCCTGTTATCTCCTACTCCCCTTAGTCCATTTTGCCCATCCTCCCTACACCCTCCCCTTCCCTCTGGTAACCATCAGTTTATTCTGTGTATTTATAGGTCCAGTTCAGTTTTTAGTTTACTCATTTGATTTAGATTCCACATGAGTAAAATCATATGGTATCTGTCTTTCTCGGTCTGACTTATTTCAGTTACGGAATACTCGTGGGATCCATCCATGCTCTTGCAAATGTCACAGTCTCATCCTTTTTTTAAGGCTGTGTAATATTCCTGTGAGAGAGAGAGAGAGAGAGAGAGAGTGTGTTTGTGTGTGTGTGTGTGTGTTTAGTCTTACATCTTCCTTTTCCATTCATCTATTGATGGACACTGGATTGCTTCCTATATCTTGGTTATTGTAAATAATGCTGCAATAATGTCCACAATAGCCAAACTGTGGAAAGAGCCAAGATGTCCATCGATAGATGACTGGATAAAGAAGATGTGGTATATATATACAATGGAATATTATGCAGCCATCAAAAGGAATGAGATCTTGCCATTTGCAACGACGTGGATGGA